ACACACACACACACACACAAGTATACACCCTGTCTCACACAACACGCTTTATACCACGCACACACTCCCTATGGGACCGCACACTAAGTTTTGGTCCAAACGGTGGCAAAGCAGCCACAAGGTGGATCTTTTGGGGGTGGTGGCAGTTTCTTTGAAAAATGCGGGACCAGTAGCTACCCGTGGGACCCAAGCTGGGTTTTTGTCAAAACAATGGCAAAGCAGCGGCAAGGTGAAAAAGTGAAAAAGTTTGAATCGGAAAGGGTGCGGCCTTGGCCGCAGGTTGAAACGACACACCTACATTGCATTTGCAAATGCAAACTTATAAACTTCACCAATAACGCCTCCTTTATCAATTAAGCATATACAAACTATGGGATGCGTACTCGTGCCCTCACGATAAATCAATCAGCAGCGTGGGAAGCCGCGGGGCAAGGGATTTTGCCGTCACCTCTACCTTTGGAGGTGACGGCAAATGCCCTACTTCATTTTTCGCATCTGCTTCAAAAATTGGCAAATATTCGTTCACAAAAGTTCTTGCACAATTTGTGGATGGCGCCGTGTGACCAGCCAAGTACCAAATCCCCGTTTCCCCAGACGGCCGTGAGCTTGTCCCATCTGAAAAGGTACAACAGTGTGACATGAACCATGCCCGAAATCTCAAATCGGCCCTTCCCAAATCCGCATATTTTGCAGATTTGGGGTAGCAGTGTGAGAAAAACTGAGGTATACTCACACTACGACCCCAAATCCGCATACAATATATTTTGCGGATTTGGGGTAGCAGTGTGAGTATGCCCTAATATGTGGATTTGGGGTCGCAGTGTGAGTATGCCCTAATATGCGGATTTGGGGTCGCAGTGTGAGTATGCCCTAATATGCGGATTTGGGGTCGCAGTGTGAGTATGCCCTCAGGGCATACTCACACTCACACTGCAACATTGGGACCCCAAATCCGCAAAATATGCAGATTTGGGAAGGGGTCATTTGAGGTTTTGGGCGTGGTTCCGGCCGCACTTTTGTGCCTTTTCAGATGGCACAAGACCCTTGTCGTGTGGAGTAATGGCGATTTGGTACTTTATTGGTCACACGACATCATCCACAAATTGTGCAAGAACTTTCGTAAATGGAAATGCGAAAAATAAAAAGGGCATTTGCGGTCACCTCCAGAGGTGACTGCAAATTGAGGTGCCCACAAATTCCCTTGCCCGGCAGCTGACAACTGGGCACACAAATGGTACATTTAGGACTTCGACAAATCTGTGTGACCGATCCTCTACCTTTTTAGGGCGAATTTTAGGATTATAGGTCCCAGTGTGACTATGCCCTCATTCTTCCCTGTTGATGTTCCCACATTAGGACTACATCTCCCGAGCCCAATCAAGTCCAGTACCGCGGCGCCTTCTGGCAGCACGAGAGGGGAAAACTTGAGATAATTGGTGGAAGGCATCCACGCCAAAACCTTTCCAGTTTTGTAAAAAGCGCCCACGGGCAACAAGGGCAGTCGGACACAGTACTTTGGCAGCCGAGATCGGGTCCCAACTGTTGGGCCCCTTCCTACCAGATCATGAACCCAACCTTGTATCTGGGCCAGGTTCATTTTTCGATAGGCGTATCTCGTCAAACGGAAAAGGTTTGAGTGCCCAAAACCGAAAAGGTCTTGGCGTGGGTGCCTTCCACCAATTATCCTGGACTAGGGGACCTGTTGCGACTACGCCCGCAATAATGAAGGATTGTTTGCCAAGAAAAAGAAAGAGGTTGATGGGTTTGGAGGGTTTGAAGGTGGTTGGATTTCAACTAACCTGTTGTGTGTTTCACTTCTCATACATGTCTCCGGCTTACCACAATTTTTCCTTAGTTCGCAAGAAGTATTCTTTCTCAGATGTTAGGAGATAGGCAATCCTGCATATAACATTATTACGATATTGCTCGAAGGGTATGTGCTTTTGGTCTGGTTGTCTCATGAATGTGACTTCCAGCATTACACTGACATACTCCCATGAGTGTGAGTCGCACAAAATAGTTGTTTTTGTATCTATCTCAAACTGCCTATCTCGGTTGTCCAAGTGTAGGACTTGATCCGCAACCTCTTTGGGTTTGAATGACCTCAATGCATCCCACCATGGATTGACATTGTGAATTGATGGTTGTGTCTTGTCTGCTTTGTTTTGGACAATGAGTGAATGAATATCATTCACTCGATTATATCTGTATTCTGCAAATTTTTTTTTTTTTTTTTTTTTTTTTTGCTTTTCGTAATCAAAATTGAGTAGGTTATTGAGTACTGCATTCTTGTCTTGTTGACTCTAAATGTTATATTCAGAATGTCCGTGAGGGAGATGTGACTGTATGTGGTGTTCTTTGTAGCGCTGGTATTTGATAAGTAAATCGGGAGTTGGAAGAGTGTTTGACATGAAATCTTGCCAAAGTAGGACATCAATGAGCTTTGGCAGACCAATCTCATTCTCTTTCTTAACCCAATTTTAGACTTGTTTGGAGGATGTTCGCGGGTCTGTTTTTTTACTGGTGAACTGCAAAGTGCGCTGGCAAAGTTTCTGTGGCTTGGGACGGTCGGTCGGTGGAGATAGTATGGCAGGKGGTTGACAGTCAGTTGCATTCGGTATGGCTTGCGTGGAAAGAGTGTTGTTTCGTGAAGATGTGTGTTGGTTTGCCGATGTGTCATGTTGTGACAGAGACAAAGGTGTGTCTTTACTCCGATTTTGAGTAAGAGCATCAATGTCCATGTCACACATATATTGCTCCAGCTCTTTGTCATTGGTAAGATCTACCAATGGTATGGGTGAGGGATGGGGGGATGTGTGAGAAGGAGTTGTTTTTGTACGTGGGGTTAGGGTTTGATGCACATGTGTATCAATGATTATTTGTGAGGAAAGGGAGCGAGGTGAAGCAAGATCGTTTGATTGTTCAAGTCTGATTAGAGATATGGACTGAAGTTCTTTCTTTGTTGTAAAGTCATTGTCCTCAGAGGTTGGGAGTTCGGTTGTGGTTTGGGTTTGGGCAGTAGGATTGGGAAGTGCATCTTCCTGTATGTTTGTGTGGTGCGAGTCTGACTTTTTTTGTGTGTGAATCGTGTTGAGCGAAGAGCCGTGTTGAGGTAGTGGAGCAACATTTGAATCGTTGAGCACGGGTAGAGGATGAGAATTGGGTTGATTTGGGGATAAATATTCATTGTGATTGGAGGAATGGAGTGCAGTTGTGCGATTGGGTTGATTTGTTGTTTCCTGAATGTCATGTTATTGCATGGGTGTATGTGGCAACTCCGAAGACTGTTATGATATCACCAATAGTTTTTTGGCTGGTTGGATTGTGGGCTCTGCTTCTCTTGCTCTGCATCCTTTCTCGTGCGTTTGTATGTTGCTACGAGTGTGTTGCTAGTCTTCGGAATCACATTCGCATCACAACAACATTTAAGCAAAGAAAGTTAATTTTTTTGAAGAACTTCTTTGTACACAACATTCTGAGTTATTTTGGAGTTGTCAAGCAAGCAAACACAAACATCAGATGGATGACCAGTGCGTGACAGTGCAACATACGATTGGCCATGTGAGAAAACTGGGTTTTGTAAATATATTTTTGCACTTTGAACAATTTGTCCTTGGGCTTTGCTGACTGTGATTGCAAATACTACTCGCACAGGGAATTGTCTTCGTTTCCATTGCAATATATATATTTTTTTGATGTTTGAATGGTTATTCTTGGTATGAAGACATCCTCGTTTGTTACCAAATGTGTTGCTCTGAGAAAGTGGTTTCCAATCACCTCCTTCACGATTAACCTGCTCCCATTGCATAAGTCATTTTTGGAATCCAGATTCCGCAACAACATTATGGGTATGCCTTTTTTTAGGCGTAACTTGTGAGGAGGCAAACCTGAAATATCTAAGGAGTTCATAAATTTCATTGGGATTTTCAATTTGTCATCATCTTCAACTGCCTCGTCCACATCATAGTAATAAATATCCTCACCTGGAAATTGTCCTAGTAAATATAAGTTGTGTTCTCATTTTTTAGGCTTAGAATCATTCGTTGTCCTAGCCATTTGGCATCATCAGCATGATTTTTTAGATTTGTGAATGTCCAATTGATGGGATCATTTGCACTGCTCTCAAAGCAGATGTATGCAGACAACTCAATTATCACCTCATCTTCGATATCTACAACTTCATTTTGTCCATCTCCCACTGTAAGGAGTCACTTTATAAATTGAAGGGTAGTTTCGTCGCCCCCTCGCGACATAGCTCGCATATTTTTTTATAGTTGTATGTTTTGAAAAAGTGGTCACAACTCTGAACTTTTCATGCATGTATTTATTTGTTGTGCTTGGGAACCTCGAGTGATTACTGGTAATACTTGTCTGAAATCTTCGACCAACACCACCACTTTGTCTGCGAAGGGGAGTGGTAAATCGCATAGATCACGCAATGTGTAATCAAATCCTTCCAAAAGGAAGCGATAGGACATTGGAGCCTCATCCCATATTATTAGATCTGCTTTCTTCATCAATTATGCTAGACCCAACTGCTTTGGGATTTTGAAGACTGTGTTATCGGAGAGTTGAATGAACGCTTTAAACCTCGAATGAAATGTGCGTCCTCCATCCAACAAAGTTGCTACAATGTTACTGGATGCAATTGCAAGAACAACTTTCTTTTGCGGGCGGATACCGACAAGGATGATATTGATACAAAATGTTTTACCGGTTCCTGCGGGTGCATTAAGGAAGAGGCCAAGAGGTTCTCTTCCTCTAACCGCATCAACAACTCGGTGCACAAATCGTTGTTGTGATGGTCGGAGGCATGCACACTGTATCTCCCACATGTGTTTCACGAGTTCAACATTGTAAGTAAGTTCATCATGCAATTCATGTGGGAGATGATACAAGTATTGTTGGTGTTCTAACCGAAGTGTCAACTCCTGGTCTCTTCGACTAGGACGACGGAGATTGACTGTTTTCAATTCTTTCCCCCTCTCTTCTAACATGCGTTATACATCAAGCATGACCAATGCACGTAGAACAAATTCTGGGATTTGCATGTTTTTGAAAATATAAACATAATGTTCTCACATTTTAGGACAATGTGCATGAAACAACTTGTTTGGATCTGATATTTCATTAAATAAGAGCAAAGTGACAAATTGTTCTCTGATTTTTTGGGGCATGGCATACACGACCAAACTCTGGATATACTCATCCCATTCTTTGTTATCTGTAAACAAACCAAGTGCTCTACATGCATCTTGGAATGTTTCATGCAGCACGTTACCAATTCTTCTCAAATTTTCAAAGGAATTTGTCCCCCTACAGTGTTCATGTGTGAGTAAAGTACGAAGGAAGTACACATCTCCTTGTGCCGGGTGATTTTGATACATGCGCCCAATTTTGGCAAAACCTTTTTTTGGCATTACATTCTCTCGGTGCCCAATGATTTTTTTTCCATGTATGTTTTGAAATAATATCAACATACAATGACAATTGCGATTTGTCCACATTTTTGTTTTTTAAATATAGATTCATTCATGCAGTAAGCTTGCTGACCAGCAGTACTTTGGCAGCCACATTTTGGGCATTGTGTGCGTTGAAATATATCATTTGATTATTTTTAAGATGAATGGGTAAGCGCTCAACGCTGGGGTAGGCTTCGGTGAGATTGAATGCGAAGATTCTCCAACATGCCTCAGATGCTCCCATAGATCTAAGATCTTGGTAGCGAATGGTCTCATCGTTCTTGTGTTGTTCGCTTCGTTCTCCAACCATCGCACGATCGTGCCCTTTAAAAATATATTTATACAGGTATTTTATGCATGCTGCATTTGCACATGCTTCCATATTTATATGACTGTTGTAACGCATAAAAAGGTATGCATTGTATGAAACAACATATGAGTTATCATATTCCTTCCTGCATATGACACACGTGTGCCGTCCTTCGCTTCAAGATGGACATGTTCGTCGGTAAGTTGGATATTTACTGCCTTCTTCCCAGACAGTGCTATCTTTGAATGGTTTTGGAAAACCTTTTGTACAAATACCATCTTCCATGCATGACTGTGTGAGTCCTTTTTTCCCACACTTGTTGTGCATCATGAATTTGATTACTCTGTTCCGCAGCTCACCCTCCGGTGGGATTTCCGCTGAGGTGATTTTATCTACATCAAACCGGGAAGCTGAAAGATCACTGTGGAAAAAGAAAGGCAGTGATCTTACGTTCTGTGCTTCGCACCATAACGTGACCTCTTAGAAGTGCCTATTGGAAACTGATACGAATTTGGATTTTAACGTGCTGATGTTTTTTAACTGTAGGAATACTACTGGGAAGTTGGTGGGCTTATCATGAGCTAGGTTGGGGCGGTTGGTGACTTTGGGATCCCGTAGAAAATGCATCTTTGAGGTATTAGCTACAGCTTGTATTCATTCAGTCATTTCATTTCGGTTGAATTCTTGGACCTTCTTTCTAAACATTGTTACTTTTTTATTCAGTCTTTTAAGTGTTTTGGGTTTGTCTTCGCCGTCCAAAACTATGAGCATATGAGCATGAGGGAAACCCTTTTTTTGAAACTCGTCGCTGTCTCCTGAACCTCGCGCCGTGCGTCTATACCCCCCTCGATTCGCCGCTGTCCTGCCTGCACAACCTCATCCACCGCCTGAGGCCGTCCCTCCACAGCAACGTCCGCTGCCTCTGCTACACCCGACATAGCCTTGGGTAACGGCTCTGCTGCCACTCCCTCCGCAACGTCCTCCCCCGCCACCACCCCACCCTGCACACAATCCCCCTCTATCTCTCGACGTCTGGCCTCCTCTACGGCCCGTGCGAACGACTGAGCACGCGGGTCACTCGATGCCAAAAGTCGAGCCCTCTCTCGCTCCATGATGTCGCTTGCTGCATCTGGAGACTCAGTCGTCGTCCTCTCTCTCGCGGTCTGCGTCGAAGTCTGTCCTGGCGCATCGTCCCTCGATGGAGCCCGGTCTGTCGATGTCGCCCCGCCACAACTAGGTGGAAGGCCCATCGACAAATCTAAGTCTAAGTGGGTTCCCATCTCCGAATCCGAAATCCCAAACCCCCTCGCCACACCCGGGGTCATACCCTCTATGACCGGATCGAGCTCCTCCGTGAGGAACTGCTGCATGAGGCGCTCGTCATCGCCCCCACGCTGCACCTTGGCCTGTGCGGCTATCTCCTCCTCCACTGGTCTTGGCACCTCCCCCTCCACTGCAGCTGCCGACGGTGCCTCCTCCTCCTCCACTGCTGCTGCTCCTCCACCCGCTCCTCCTTCTGCTGCCACCTGCCCCTCCACTTCCTGCCGATGGTGGATCCTCCTCCAGCACACATGCTGCCATCTCCTCCAGCACTGCTGCTACTGCTGCTGCTGCTGCTATCTCCTCCACCGCGGCTAAGATCGTCGCGTCCGGCACCGCCGCTGGTGCCACCGAACTCTCCACTGCTGCTGTCGACAGTGCCCCCTCCTCCTGCAATATCCCCGGGGAAGGTGATCGTAACCTCAGCTGGCGGACTGCCCCGCCTCTGTGGAGAAGTCCGCGCTGAGGCAAAGAGGACCCCAACTCCTCCCTGTCCGCCGTTGCCGTGGCCAGCTGAAGTGGCGAGACGGGCGATGGTGGTGCAGGACTCGGAGCAGGAGGTGGCGACATGGACGACTTCCGCCTCGTCAGAGTGGGGGTTGTTGCCTGCGCCTCTAGGCCGCCCGTGGAAGGGAGCTCACCGAATGGACCCCAAAACTCCTCCTCTCCCCCCAGCATCTCCCTCTCCGCCCGGTCCGCCGCCCGTCGTGCAGTGTGTGCCCTCGTCTCCGCGGAGTCGGGATCCTCGTGCGTCTCGTCGATCTCACGGGGAATGCGGAGCGCAGGGTCTTCTGCCGCCTCGGGTACCGGCTCCTCGTATGAGTCGTCCTCCCTGGGGTAGGGACGAAAAATGCAAGCACGTATATCGAAAACGGCATCAGCAGAGGGTGGTACGGACGCCCCGATGGGATCTCGGGTAATAAGTGCGACCTGACGGGCAATCTCCTCCTCCGTGATGCCCCTGCGAGTCCCCTAGCGCACAAGCTCCAACTTGAGTCCTGCTTGGCAATCCAGCATGCCCTCGTCCCACTGCCATGGCAGCACATAACCACATCCAGCCCGCCGATACTCACTCAACCCCACATTTGCGGTGATCTCAACGAGTTGAACGACCTTCTCGAAGGCCAACTGGTTGCGCTTCTTCGTGTGAATGCCCTCGTGGACTGCCCAATTCCTCTCCGCTGGAGAGGCGCAAGACCACATGTGCATCACCCGAAGAGCGCAATGCTGCAACTCTGGCGCGCCCTACCTGAACAAAGACCACCAAGACGCGTACTCAATCGTCTCGTTGTCGCCGCTGCACGCGCCCCCACGAGCACGCCCCTCCGGCCCGCCCCAATCCCCGAACCTGCCCTGCTGAATGTGGAAGTCCTCAAACTGCCGACATGCAAGGATGTACTCCGCACCCTCCAACTTGAATCCCGTCTGCGTCATAATGTACCTCTTGGCTTGCCCCACAAGCCAAGCATCGTACCGATCTACCTGGCCCGAAAAGTAGCGAACGTGTCGCCTGCGGGGGTTCAGTAAGAACTCTGCGCAGTGAGCCGGCTCAAGCATGTGCTGTGTGCGAGCCTGCACACGCCTGATGATCCAGTCGGCGAACGACTTCCCCAAAGGGGCGCATGCGTCCGTGACACGGCGGACAAGATCCTGCGTCCACTCGATCATGAGGGACATGTACTGTCCTCCACGATCCATCCGCCTAAGCAAGTCCATGACGGGCTGCATGATATGGACGATGGTGGCCACCCTCTGCCACCAAGGATCCCATCTGATCTGTCGGCGCACCCAACACGCCATGACGCACACATTGGCGGACCACGGGATGGAAGTAAAAGCCCGCGCGTCATCCCCTCTCATCATGTCCTGCAGAGTGTCCTGCAGGGCCAACAACCTCTCTAGCATGGACGCGAAACACGTCTCGTAAGAAAGAATAAGCCTCTTGTCCGGGCTGCGCGTCCTAAAAAAATGAAGGGCGGCTTGGTGGGTTTTGAAAAACACCACCAGCACACGAGCGCGTGTGATCGCGTCCACAAACGCGTCGCAACTCGTCCCCATGTCTGACAACAATTTGTTGCAGACATGGACGGAGCACGAGAGCCAAGTGATTCTCCTCAGTGCAGAAGGCATGGACGGCGAGGCCAATGCCCTTGCAGCCCCCACATAGGCAGAAACGGAGTCTGTGCATATCGCATTGATCCGCTGCGGCCCGCCAAAGCTGAACTCGTGGAAGATGGTAACCCATCTCCGAAGGACGTGCACTGCATCGTCCGCCTCTCACTCTCGATTGATCGTCGTGTACACGACGGCCCCTCGCGAGCCAGCGGCAAGGAAATTCACGATCGGTCTCCCGTCTCGTGATTTCCTCCCATCGGAGAGGAGGGTGGCACCAGTCACCCAGAATGGTTGCCTCACCTCCTCCAACTCCTCCGCCAACTCCACACGGTGGGTCTCCACCGCCCGCATACTCACAATCTCGCTGTGGTTGGGGAGCACAGAGCGCGGGGAACTGCCAGACTGCTCAAGAAACACCTGTTGATATGCCTTCCAAGCCTGGTTGCGGAAGGCATTGAAGGAGACCCAGCTGGAATACAGCCAGCGAAGGAATGCCTTCTTGTGACGAGCAACCCACTCGCCACCGTAGACATCAGTCACCTTCTGCTGACGAAGCCTCTTTCCTGCTGGGGTGGCAGCTGGATCACTTCTTCCTTCCTTCCTCTTGGAAGACCCCTCCGTCGCAGCTCCCTTGCCTACTCGCCTCCGCCAGTCCTCCAACCTCTCCCCAGTGCCTGGATAAAACTCTTGCATGTCCTCCCGTTCCGGGACTCCCTCCTCGCCCGGGCCACGCGCCTCGCGATCGACGTGGATCACACCCTCCTTCGTCTCACCGCCTCCACCACCCAAAGTGGGGTCCGGTGCACCTTGCCCACCATCTCCCCCGACCCCTCCCTCCACCGGATGCTGCCCCGACTCTCCTTCCCTTGCACCACCCGTGTCGGGCACATCGAGTCCGCGCTCCGCTGCATATCTGGCAACCCTCTCCATCTGATCGGCCTCGAACTTCTGTTGACTCCGTCGAGCAATCTCGTACAACGCCTCGTCGCTGACGTCCTTAAAGTAGTTTGTCTGCGAGAAGTGTCTCGTGGCCTGAAATTGGGTCCCTTGAAAAACTTTGTTGCAAAACGTGCAACGGAGCATCATGACCCCCTTGTTGTCGACCTTCTAACCGACAACCAGGTACTGATACACAGGGGAGCGGGCCCTGAATGTGTCCTGCACATGGTCCGCGGCAGCCTCATGCTGATGGCGTTGTGCCCTCCCCATGTCGACCACCCTGGTGAGACAACCCTCGCTGACTTCCCCCGACCACACCGCTGCAACCCAACCCCTGTTAACCGCTGCCCGCCGCAGGGTCCCCCTTCCCCCAACCTCCCCCCCTGCAATCCAACCCTCCTTGACCGTCGCCCGCCTTAGGGTCCCCCATCCAGCACCTCCCATCGTCTCCCCCGCTCGCGTGAACCCGTGCGCAGCCGACCGAACCACCACAAACGCACCGCCAGCCCGCGCGTTAAACTGCGTTTAACGCCGTTCAAATGCATTAAAACGCGTTAAATCGCGTTTAATGCCGTTGAATTAAAAATTCAACGGCGTCATTCGGGACCGCTCGTGCCGGTTCCCAGCCATCGCCGCGCACACTCCTCGCTCCACGTTCGTCGAGTCGCCGCCGCCGCTCCGCTGCGCTCCACGCTCCCTGCAACAGCTGTCTCCCTCTCCCTCCCCCCCTCTCTCTCTCTCTCTCTCTAACTCTCTCTCTCTCTCGCACACAATCTCTCTCTCTCTCTCTCTCTCTCTCTCTCTCGTGCAATCTCTCTCTCTCTCTCTCTCTCTCTCGTGCAATCTCTCTCTCTCTCTCTCTCTCTCTCTCTCTCTCTCTCTCTCTCTCTCTCTCTCTCTCTCTCTCTCTCTCTC